CCACCTCCAGCGGAGTACGGACCCCCAGCTCCATACGCACCCGAAGCTGCTCCTCCGCCTCCACCACCACCTCCACCACCACCTCCTCCCCCACCGCCACCACCCCCGGCAGAGTATGGGCCGCCAGCTCCATACCCCGCAGAGCCCGTCCAAGAATACGGACCACCAGCTCCGTATCCAGCTGAGCGTGCCCCGCCTTTTGAGTACGGGCCTCCAGCACCTTATCTACCGGTTAATTATGTAATGTCGAAGCATTTTCAAATGGACGATCCATCCCGAGGATACTCTCATGGGTAAGTTACACCACACAGTGAGGGGCCACAAGGCAGTCTCGGACCTACCAATTGGTCTTCATTGTGACAGGAATAAATGTGGTGCAAGATCTTGAATCATTCTTTCCGTTGTTTTTATAAAGATTTTAGTGATAAAAGGACGAAAAATTTCAGAGAGTTTGATCATGGCATGCGGGACGGAGTATCGAGTTCATGGTGAAAAAATCGATTGCCTTCATTTTTCGATACTTATCAAAGTAGGGCCGCGATTGGACTAGATTCTGCAATGAAGGAACTACTTTTTTCTCTACTATTTCTCACTCATCCGTAAAAGCACCTATCTGCCAAGAGAAATCACGAGGTACCTACAAACGCCATTCTTGAAATGAGCCGGAAAAAGTAGTTCCTAGTTGCTGAGTGCAGTCCAATTTCGGCTTAAAAAATGATTTTGGAGGGTGAAAATAGCATCGATGGCGGAGTCGACAAATTTTTCGTTCCGTTTAGCTCTTTCACATAGATTGTCGATGTTCATCCAATTATCTCTGTTTGGATCTTACGATTTTCCAATATAATTAATTTGACGGATTCAACCGGAACCAGTCTAATTGCTTCAGACGTTGCTGAATTGTCTCCAATATTTAGTATCACGCAGAGAACTAGGCAACTCTGAAACTTGAACTGAAAGGTAGATAGGTAATCATGTGCCTATACAGGGTGGCTAAATCTTCCTTGTCCGGCTTTTTTTCGGTTATTTTAGTAAGTAGGAAAGCAAAGTTTTTGAAAATGCTATACAATCAAATCATGTTCTTGCTTTTTCCCAGAATATTCCTCTCTTGACTTAACACCTTCAATTCTCATACCCAATAATGTCTGTTTCAGGTACACCGATGGTAAAGGAACAAGCGTCTCTGAGCAAGGTGTGGTTAGTGGCACCACTCTCATTAAATCTGGACAATTCTCCTATACGAGTCCAGAGGGCAAGCGTATCCACGTCAAATACATTGCAGATGATAGAGGCTTCAGAATCATTGAATGAGAACTAGGAAAATACAAATAGGTGCTCAGTTGTTCAATGCCAACTGTATCCTGAAATGCACAGGTCTACCTAGCTGTATACCTACTCCTGTGAAGATTTCACTCGGTGTGAGTTAAATGAGGTTAAATTCGCCCTTGAAATGTAATTATTTACGGGGAAAGCAAAGGTGTAGCTGATTAAATCACTGCAATATCAGAAGAACATATTTTTCAACTGAATCACAGGAAAAGTTTAATTTTAAAGGCCATTAGCTAAAAGCTTACATTATTTATCTCTGGGACTTCAAAAAATGAAACCTCTGGTGGTGTCCTACCTCGGCTGAGTGAAATATTGATCATACGGCAATAATAGATCCTCAGTGATCTGCTCAATTTATAATCTTATACTCTGATCGTTAAATAAAATGTTGTTTACTCCAAACGATGGACTGAATGATTTATTGCCATGTTACCGTCTATTGTAGCATTATTTTGCAGCCATCCATAGACAATATAACTCCACAGAAGGTACCTACAAGGGTGTCTGCTATCGAAATTCAGCATCAGAGGCTGTTCGGCAGATCGTTGCGAGAAAAATTTGAATTAGTATAATTTTATACGACTTCTGACAAATTAAACTGGGAGCCACTAGTTTTTTGCTCTTTTCCTTCATCCTTGAGTGCAGTTTGATTGTTAGAATTTCGTGTTTGTCAACTGGACAAGACAAGACTTGGGAGGAATGGACTTATGTGATTGGCCGGGTGATTGGTCAGTCACTGAATTCACTGGACATAGGTAGGACAAAGAGGATGATTGATGAAGCTGGCCCATCACATAGTTCGATTCCACCTTAGTCTCATCTCTCCCAGTCAACAAACACAAAATTTTAGCAATAAGACTGCTGCAAAGGTTTGATTTTTTCATCATTTTTGGCAACCCTTACGCCTGAATTGCATTTTGCAAAAAGGAACCAAAAGCATTCCAATGTTGGTAGGGTTGTGCAACTCACATTTTTTACACTAAAATTACTGAAATCATGCAAAAAAGTAAATTTATACAAAGCTAATTTTTGTCTTTTATAGTTTATTGGGACTGAATTTTTTTGATGATCAGTTAATATTTGCAAGGTAAAAAAGTTGCACAATCTCAGCGACATTGGAATGCTCTTGGTTCCTTTTTGCAAAATGCAATCCACCTAATGAACTATTTCACAAAGTATCTGTGGAAAATTGGGAAAGAGATAGAGATAAAGGCAGCATTAGGTACCTACATTTTTTTTTTGGAGGGGGGGGGTGTTAAACAGAGCGGTGACGAAATACAAGGATGGGTGTTAAAAACTGCATTTGTCATTTTATTTTGTGATTTCTGAATGGTTCCTTCCGGGCGATAATTAGTTTTTTCAACGTCCTTGAAAAATGTTTGAATCATATTATTTTTTTATAACTAGGTACCTCTTATTATTTACTTATTTAATTTTCTTGTTAAAAATTTTGTTCTTCGGATGAAGAGCTCATTCATATGGCATCCTGCAAAAGGTGATTTTTTATATTTTCTCATTGTATCTCTACAAATGGATTCAGGCGTGACATCACATAAAAGTCCAATAAAATAACAAAATTGTACTTCAAATTTCTTTTATTTTATAGAACCTTTTTTCTCTTGTTATATTAAATTCCCATTTCTATACAATTCCTACACGATTCTTCGAAATTTTTACACAATTTCTACCATCAAAAAATGTTTTTTTTCTTATTTTCAATTCTATTTCAATTTTTCTTTTTCTTATCTTGAAAAAAATTAACAATTTCATTTAAGCAGCACTCAAATACTGCAATTATTAATTTTTTATTGTACCTTACAATCTACAAAGCTAGGAATGAAGTATAAACTAAAGATCGATAATCACTCCAAGTAAAGCATACACACAATTTACCCTTATTGACTTGTGATGGATGTGATTTGATCTAACATATCTGAAAATTTCAAAGAAAAATATGCATAAGTTTCCTCAAAATACATGCTTTATCCGGGGAAATTTGGCAACTCTCGAATGTTCATACGGCGTTTTTCCTAGGCACAGCAGAATAGCATACGCATCTCGGAGCTTATTGTTAACGCAATTCGCGAGTCATGACAAGAGTCGAGAGGGCGACGAGCGACGAGCGACGACTAGGGATCGGGTACAGATTGCGCAATGCTTGAAGTATCCCAAGAATTTTGTAGGCGCTTTCCGCAACCGTTCGTTGCACTACGTTGAAAGTTCCGTAAATTCTCCTCCGGAAGATGAGGTCTCTTTTCACAAATCTGGTCACAATTATTACAAAATAGTACAACTCTCTCGCATTCACAACAATGAAAAAAAGTTGGATCTCTTTTCCGCTACCTCAGAGATTTTAACGCAGGAGTAGAAAAGTTAAATGGGGCGAAACGCGTGATACGAACTATTTCAATTTCTTATAAGTATAAGATAAAATTTTATATCCACGAAATGGAGGAGAACATCAATGGAGGGAACTCTTTTCGGCTAACTCAGACTTGAACGCAGGAGTAAAAAAGTTGGATAGGGCAAAACGCGTGATACAAATATTTCGACTTCCAAGACGATAACACGCGCGCATATCCACAGTATGAGGGATCATATCTTTCTGGTTGAATCGGAGACTTAAATGCTGAAGGAGAAAATATGAATGGGGCAAAAATACGGTGATACAGTATTTTGATTTCTTGGCAGATAAAATTACATATCCACAAAATAAAGGAGAAGGTGAACTCTTTCCGGCTGACTCAGAGACCTAAACGCAGCAGTAGAAAAGTTGGATGGGTCAAGACTCGAGAGCCGAGAGCGAGACTAGAGATCCGGTTTCGCTGCCGCTGGCTCGGGAACACGCGCGCAATGCTTGAAGTATACCCACAGTTTTGCAGACTCTTCCCGCGATCGTTTTTTGCGCAAAGTTCAAAGTTTTGGTATCAGAATTGCATATTTGTGATCCCCATAAGAGATGGATTCTTAATGCTCATGTGGACAAAATTTTAAAGTAGCGAGTGGACTCAACTGAAAAAAGTATTTCTTTCTCTTCTTGCATTCTGTCAAAAGATTAAAATATCCTTAAAAAGAGAGTTATATCTAAGTATCCTCAGTCTAATGTGGAGGGGGGGGGGCATGCCTTATGTGCATAGCTTCATCCAATATCTTGCGGTCTGTTTTGGTAATCATCTTGCCCAAGAGCATTCCAATGTCGCTAACCTTGCAAACGTAAACGATCATCTAAACTAGTTTCACCTCTACTCCCAATAAACTATGAATTCAAGACGAAAATTACCGTCGCAAAGTTTACTTTTTGCAAAGAATGTACCCAAGTTTCACAATCCCAGCAACATTGCTCTTAGTTCCTTTTGGCAAAACGCGATCCAGTTGGTTGTTGCTGCAAAAAAACAGTTTCCCACAACCTGCTATACAATGCTCCAGTGATCATGTAAGTTGGCCCGAGCACTAACTTTTCGGGAAGAAAGCCTTTCCCCTACCTGGTTTCTCACTTAATATTCGCCCGAGTTTCGCATTTCTTCTGTTTCTCCTCATCGCAGCATCCATCAAACCGCAATTGCCCGGAAACTGAGACCGCACATCTTATCTGATAAAATCGTTCGCCATTTAGACCGATTCTGGGGGGTTAGGCTAGACTAGTCAATGAGTCAACTGTTGATCTAATTTCATTACGTGAACGTAGAAGAAAAACGGGGTAAAAAATCACTAATGTGTGATCAATTTTCAAGGACAATGCTGTAATTTCTCCTACGATTTTAAATAGATTAAAACGCGTAATATCCAAAATCTAAGCTCAGATTCGAATTCCTCGTGAAAAACTGATGCGATTCTGTGCATCATATGTTAGAATAGCGTGAAGGAAAGAGGTTTAATGACGTAAAAAAACACTAATGTGTGATCAATTTTCAAGGACAATTCTGTAAATTCTCTTACGATTTTAAATAGCTTAAAACGCGTAATATCCAAAATCTAAGCTCAGATTTGGATTCCTCGTGAAAAATTGATGAGATTTCATGTATCATATGTTAGAATAGCGTGAAGGAAAAAGGTTTAACGACGCGTATAGATTCTGTCGTACGTCCCCTTTGAACTACGCCGCCGCCTGTCGCCCGAGTGAAACCGAACGGGGAGGCGCCACTTAAAGCGCCGGCTAAGCGTTCGGTTTCGTCCCGAGGAATTTCTCACGATAAATTCTTATTCTTCCTCCTCCGCTGACCCACTGAGCACTACCCATGTTGCCACATTGGATTCATATGCTCGAATCAGTATGTCTACGTTACGTCTCTTTCCTTCACGCTATGCTCGGGTATGATACATGAAATTGTATCAATTTTTAACGAGGAATCCGAATCTGAACTTCGATTTTGGGTATCACGCGTTTTAAGTGAAATTTTCCAAATTCGAAAATCTGAAATGACTGAAGTGGCTTAAAATGCCATCTCGGCTCCTGTTCGATGGATTTTCCTGAAATTCGGTGTCAGGGTATGATACATGAAATCGCATGGATTTTTTACGAGGAATCCGAATCTGAACTTCGATTTTGGGTATCACGCGTTTTAAGTAAAATTTTTCAACTTCAAAAATCCGAAATGACTGAAGTGGCTTAAAATGCCATCTCGGCTTCTGTTCGATGGATTCTCCTGAAATTCGGTGTCAGGGTATGATACATGAAATTGCATCGATTTTTTACGAGGAATCCGAATCTGAGCTTCGATTTTGGGGATCACGCGTTTTAAATCAAAATCTGTCAAAATTCAAAAAATTCAAAATTCGCGAAAATCCGAAATGGCTTAAAATGCTATCTCGGCCCCTGTTCGATGGATTTTTCTAAAATTCGGTGTCAGGAGGTATTTTTCGACGGGAAACTCGAATTTTTAGTCCATTTTTTAAAATTCTCAAATTCAAGATGGCGAACGTGGGCTAAAATGCTATCTCGGTTTCTGTTTGTTCGAGTCTTGTGAAACGCGGTATCACAAGGTATTTTTCAACGGAAAACTCGAATTTTTGGTCAATTTTTTAAAATTTTTAACTCCAAAATGTTGGATGTGGCCTAAAATGAGCCCCGGTTCTGACCTCCGTTTCTGTTCATTAGAGCTTTGTGAACCGCGGGATCAGGGGTACTTTTTGACGGGAAACTCGAATTTTTAGTCGATTTTTGAAAATTCTCGAATCCAAGATGGCGGACGTGGCCTAAAATGCTATGTCGGCTCCTGTTCGATGGATTTATGGCGCCCCCTTACTACATGCCTACTCTTGTGTAGGTATTTCTGTACAGCCGCAAATTTAGGGTCAAGGGGCGCCTGACCGTCTATGGACCAAGTGGAGTTTTTGTCCTGAAAATTTACCTTTAGACGGCAATTCTCTTTATATTTTGTCTATGGTTTTTATGCCCTCCCCCCTTTCTCGCGGACTCTCTTTTCACTTTTTTTGCCTCCTTTTTCCTTCCATTTCCCCCCTTTTTCCTTGCTTTCGCTGCCCAACCTTGTTTCCTTTTCCTTTTTTCCCCTTGTCCTTTCTTCCCTTTTTTCCCTCTCTTCTTCTTTCGTGGCGCCCCCCAAAGGCTGGTGCCCGTGTGCGCCGCACGCCCTGCACACGCCCTAAGTCCGGGCCTGTTGCCCCTAATTCCTTTCGATTATATCGTCATGCTGCCGCTTGTTCTCGGCAGCGCGCATCTTCGTTCTTCTTTTTACGTTTTTTGCGGGCCCCCAAAATTCGCCGCCATAGGCCGTATCCTCAACGGCCTACGTGTAAATCCGGCCATATATTCTGGAGTGGGTGTGTGATATGGTATCACGCGAAAATGAGGGAATATACTACCTTTTCACCTGTCTCAAATTATTGACATTTGTGAATGTAAGCTAGGGTATTAAATAAAATTATTTTTTGAGAACCTTTCTTCACTCAAAATTCCTAGTGCTAACGGACCTCAGTAACATGAATATGCGTCGAGTTTTGGGCTCATATATTTCTACGTGGATCCCTAGCCCCCCTCCCTCTCTTCGTGAGATGGACTGATTTTGAGGATTTTTTTTCCAACTGTAAATTTATATAAACGACATTTTCTTTGGTGATTTTTCAGTTAAAATGCTTCATTCGCCCTCATCTGATGAGAACTAAGTCGCCATGATTCTAACTTTGGGTCACACTCAGATGGAACATGCAATTTTTTTTGGGGGGGGGGGCATGAGCTTATAAGAGGTTCCGTGCAAATTTCTGGTTTTGTTTTTCATATTTCTTTTCCCTTGGTCGAGAAGTATCTATGTTGTCGAATGATTCTTTTAAGTTAAGTAGTATTCAATCGGGAATAAGAAACAGGTCCCTTCCCAAAAAAACCCCTGGGTTAAGGGAAGGAGGGACGCGGCTGTAACCCTTTTCAGGTCTTGGAGCTTTTTGGCTCAGGCGTAACATGGGAAAAAACATAGCACGGACTGATTCAGCACAAAGAGATGGGGACGTTTTGAATCAAGGAACTTGGATCCAGATAGAGGAGTTGGCAGGAAAGCTGAAATTTATCAGCTAAGTACAGAATTTTCAGGCAAAGAGTGCGCGTAGGACTCCTTTTTTACTTAATGGTTTTTGCTTAAAGCCAAGGATTTTTTCCATGGATCCAAAAAAAAAGTCGTTGGGAAATTTCAAAAACAGCAAAAAATTATTTTGAATAAATCATTTGATTGTTCTTGTGACAATATATGTAGAGAGAGAAGAAAGTACATTTAAGGACACATCAGCTTATTACCAAATGACATACCTGCAAGAGGTGAACTTAAAATAAACAATAACAAGACCTGCTTGAGTATAATGTTTCTTAGTAGGTAATATAAAAATCTGAAAAATGTCTTAGGTGTATCAAAAGGCTAATAAATGCTATATTTTTGGAAACCAGAAAGAATATCAAAATTAAATAATTACCTGCTTAATTTTTTTTTCTTTGAATTGTATTAAATAAAAAATAAATAAATAGCGAACTGATTTTCACCCAGATTCTTTGGAATATGTATAATTAAGAGTAAAAAAGTTATAAAAAAACCTCAATTCATTTAAAATTTTTTTTTGGAAGATAAATATGTGTGTAACTTAAGTCATGAATAATTTTAACTAAGCAACATTAGGAAAACGCAAGGATGAAACAATTTTCTCACTCAAGAATTCGAAGTAGATAGGCAGATCGTCTACACTAGTCACAGAGTCATATTTTTAAGGCTGGGGCATATGTACTGCTAAGATAAAAAAAAAAAAATAATTAGCCAGAACCAAGTTTCTAAATTCAATTTAAATCAATGTATTGGCTTTTGAAAACAAATTTGAACAATTTTCTTGAGGAACATTCTTCTTTAAAATTGAGTGTAGAGACTTGCGCAATTGGACAGACTTTCATACAAGTGCCTAGCAAAATACTTCAAACGTAAAAATCTAATTCTGTGGCTAGTGCAGCTGACCAACAACAAGATGCCATGGCAAATGGGACAATTTTTCTATTAGTACTGGAATAATGTGTTAGTTGATTGCACTTCAACTCGGAAAAAAGTAGAGAAAAAAATTATAAATGAAACATGGGGTTCATATTCCATTGTTGGTAATTCCTATGTTTTTTTAAGAAGATGCTGATGGAAATAGCTCTAAATAACCTCACTCACAGAATCTCTGAAAAGTTACCGTCCCATATTGACTTTGAGAGCAAATAAAGAAAAGTTTTGAAAGAGACCTAATAACAGAAATGCATAAAAATTGAAAATTTCCAGCAAGTTTGATTCAGTATAAATCAAATAACAATTAAATAGCAGTAATATACTGTCTATTTACAAAGTAAAACAATAATGTAGCACACCAAACGATAATAGAGACTTAAAAAACATAATTAATTAATTTTCAATGTCTTTGTTTCATTCAGTTTCCATAAAACTTTGCCCACATACTGCTCCTCTGAGAAAGAATGCCTTATGAGCATTTGGATGTTACCAAATTTTCGAAGATAGAATATGTATTTGAACAAAAAAAACATAAAATATTTGTTTTTAAGTTTTCAGTTTATACTAGATTAAGTTTAAAGTGAAATTCTTTAAAAAAAAAAAAAAAAAAAAAAAAAAAAAAAAAAAAAAAAAAAAAAAA